CACGCCTCAAGGTCCGTCCATTCGAAAGCTTCGCTGATGTAGATCTCTGGAGACACGTCAATCCCTGCACCGGGTGACCTCTGCAGTTCCTGTTCTGGAGCTGCCTCCTGTTTCTCCTCAGAGGATTCAAAGAGTGGATTAAGCACCTGATGGATTAAGCACCTGACGTAGTATCCTTGTATTTTCTGCATATACATCGTTCTTGAAAGAGCTGTCAACCCAAACCTCTTTGTTTTATTTGGTAGTTTATAACAGCAATTTATTATGAATTGCTACTGTTCTTTTTGTTTGTTTGTTTGTTTGTTTTTTGAGTTGGAGTCTCACTCTGTTGCCCAGACTGGAGTGCAGTGGCCGCTCCCGGCCACCGCAGCCTCGACCTGCTGGGCTCCGGCGATCCTTCCGCCTCAGCCTTCCAAGTAGCCGGAATTACAGGCACGCGCTACCACGGCCGGCTGATTTTTTGATTTATTGTAGGGATGAGGTCTCGCTGCCCAGGCGGGTCTCGAATCCGCGGGCTCAGGCAATCTACTCACCTCAGCCTCCCAAAGGCGCGGGAGCTACTGTTCTTTACTAACACATAAACGCAATAGAGTCTGTAATTGTCTAGAGTTGTTGTACTGAATTTTTAAAAAAAATCACCTAGGTCATTTTAAGCATTTGCCTGGGATGTATAGAAGAGTTAGAGAATCTATCAGGAGCTCAAAAGATTTCATCAGTGATTTGAATATTTATCAAATTCCTATCACATATGCAAAGTGTCATGCTAGATACAGCCTTGTAATGCTAAATAAATATTGTCTGGATCTTCAAGACAGCAACATGGTTCAAGGAAATTATTTCCAGGTCCAATCTGCTCTCCAAAAACTTTACTAAGGAATCTTTGTATTCTACTAAGGGACCTGGAAATTTTATTGATCTCTACAATTTAGACTCATTTTAAGCCAGAAGGGATCTCGGAAATAGTTTGTACAATTCTCTCATTTTACTATTTGAAAACCAAGCCCCAAAATAAAGGGCCCAAGAACACACAGAGGCAAAACCTAGATTAGAAGATTCTAGCCTAGGGCTTTTCACAGTTTTCCCTCCTCCTGAACATTTACTCAAGGCCCAAACAATTTTAGAGCCCACCTGCGGTTTCTGAGGGACTTAGAATAAAATCTAATGGTGACATAGTAGAGAACACATTTGACTAAATGATTGCGTGTGTGCGTGTGTGCGCGGGTGTGTTAGAGTCTCACTCTGTCACCCAGGCTGGAGTGCAGTGGCATGCTCACAGCTACTGCAGCGTTGACCTGCTGAGCTTAAGCGGTCCTTCTGCCTCAGCATCTCAAGTAGCTGGGACTACAGGCATGCACCCCCATGCCCACCTAGTTTTTTTATTTTTTTGTAGAGACGAGATCTTATTATGTTGTCCAGGCCAATCTGAAACTCCTGGGCTCAAGCAATCCTTCCGCCTCAGCCTCCCACAGTGCTTGGGATCACAGGCGTGAGATGTTGAGCCTGGCTGGATGATTGCTTTTTGAATTTTCAAGATAGTTCCACTAACAGCATATTTCTTTCTTTCTTTTTTTTTTTTTTGAGTTGGAGTCTCACTCTGTCGCCCAGACTGGAGTGCAGTGGCCGCTCCCGGCCACCGCAGCCTCAACCTGCTGGGCTCCAGCGATCCTTCCGCCTCAGCCTTCCGAGTAGCTGGAACTACAGGCGCGCACTACCACGCCCGGCTCATTTTTTGATTTATTGTAGAGATGAGGTCTCGCCAAGTTGTCCAGGCGGGTCTCGAACCCGCGGGCTCAGGCAATTCACTCACCTCGGCCTCCCAAAGCGCGGGATTACAGGCTGAGCCACCGAGCCTGGCCAACAGCATATTTCCTGTGATTTTGTTTTTCTCCCCTGCCCGAACAGCAGCAAGTTGCTTTGTGTGGTGGGAGGTCCCTGGTCTCTGGTGTTGGACAGATCTAGCAGTGCAACTGCAAGACTCCTAATTCCTAAGAAGTAGGAATTAATTAATTCTTAGGAATTAAGATGAATTCCTAATTCCTAAGCCTCGGTTTCCTTATGTGTAAAATGGGTCTAATGGCTAGCAAAGGTGTAATTAAGATGAGTGACGCCCACCATCCTGACTGGCACAAGGTAGTTCCCAGAACACGGAGCCGAAAACTGCAAACCTAGAAATGTCGGCCACATGATGGGCCCCGATGCAAGTGCTCTCCTCCCCTGCTGTGTGAGAGCAGATGGGGCATTTTTATTTGTATTAAATTACTAGTTTGTAGCCGAATTGAAATGAACAGATGCTGGGAGAATTTGCAGAGCTTTTGTCAACTGTGCAAATATGAGGTAAGCTTATGGAGAAATGGGAGGTATTTTTGGTGAATTTACAGCATCGTTATTGTGTCATGACATCATACCAAGCTTTGATCAAGATGACAAATTCGCACAAAATTCTACAATTGAGATAAAATATAATACTATTAACTTTGTCTCTTACAGGTTTAGTTTTCTATGAAGCATTACAAGTTAATACATCAACATTTTTCATTGTAAAATATAAAAGTACACTTAGTGAACAGCTTCTAACATTGGGCAGAATTTAAGGAAATGTTACTATAAATATATTTTTAAACTTTACACCCAAAAGTTTAAAAATACTTAGGTGTCTATTTTGTAAAAGTAATTTATTTGTGCAAAAATTTCTATAAAAATGAACCCAGTACTTGTCTAAGGAAGTAATTGATATAAAATTTGTCATCAATTACAAAGATACAAAAACGTGTCTTCAAATATCAGCAGTTTTCCTTAAAGAAAAAGCTGGCCAGGTGCCGTGGCTCGCCCCTATGATCCCCGAGCTCTTGGAGCCCGAGGTGAGAGAACTTCTTGAGGCCGGGGCTTCGAGACCAGCCTGAAAACTTGGCAAGGCGCTGTGGTCACACAGCAACAGCAACAGGAAGAAGAAGACACGAACAACGGAATTAGTGTTCTGTACACAGAGAAGGTTTTGAAATTTCAAGCCTCTGTGCTAAATGAGGGGCAGAAAGAGAGGAAGACAAATTGAGCATATCTCAATCTCTGGAAAGACGATTTTTAAACAGGAAAACCTCTTTGTAAAGGAATATATACACATGCCACACACACATACACTGCGATTGTTTTCTCAGGTGATACTCGTAGAAGTGCAGCTTTTGTTTCCCTTGTAAGTGTCACTATAGAGCGCAGTGGCCACCTTGTCTCCATTCACCTTCAGTAACCATCACCATGGTATACATAAATTCACAATTAGGTTGCACTAAATCTTGTGATAGGCACAAAACATTATTTAAAAGAAGACAAGAGAAGAGATCCCATCTCCCTGACAGCATGGAGGCCAAAACAACAGAGTTCCAGCTGACTTTGTGATCCATTTTATTGCCCTTCAAGTAAAAGTAAACAAACAGAGTCTTGTCAGTGCACACAGAGAAGAACTCGGGCATTCAGAAGTCAAGAAATTTCATATTATGACTACAAGAATGCTGTGCCCCTCACTAGTGGCCTTCTCCAGGCCTGCCTTTGTGACTCACAGCTGACTGCCACGGGCCTCCTGCCTCCAGGGCAGAGCTTGCTCGGGAGTTCGACAACTTGCAGGTTCACATGTAAAACGACCTGACTGCGGTTGCTTTCAGGTTCCTTGCGTTCAACACCACTGAAACTGCATTATGACACTGGGATAGTTACTGACAAAAAGAAACAAGTAAAACAGGACTTTCATCTGCAGTTGATGACATGGTGTAATTTTAAGTAAAATAAAATCAATATGCAAAATAATTAGTCTGGGAAATCTTGAAAATGACATACTTTTAGTAATTGTCATTTATCATTATGTTACTTTTTCCTCTTTAAAATAGGCCACTGGCTTATTTATTTATTTTTGTTTGTTTTAAGTAGACTATTTTATCTAGAGACCTTGTATCTAGCAAACTCAAGCCTAACACAGTTAGAACCTAAAAAATAAAAGCCCAGGTATACAGATATCCCAAAGGCTCACATTTCAAAGCATACACACAAAATTCACAGGAAAGGCCTTAACTAAGAACATATTTATTTGTATTTTAAAATTCTTAGAAGTATTGGTCACACAGTTTAGAACCTTAATAAAAAGTAAAACATTTCTCAGGCTTCATAGGTTTTCAGAAAGTGCACATTAATTCACAACAAAGTGCCCAGGTTCTCTCTCAGGCATGTTATCTTTTATTTTAGACAAAATTCCTATGAACTTAGTTGTCTGGATTCTTAACCTACAATGAATTACAAGAAGAAAATGAAGAACTGGCTGAGGGAGGCACATTCTAACCAAACTACAGTAAGGTCAGGTAACAGAAAAGGTATAAGAAGTAGAAAAAAGCCAGGAGTGGTGGCTCACACCTGTAATCCCAGCACTTTGGGAGGCAGAGGAGAGAGGACTCCCTGAGTCCAGGGATTTCAGACCAGCCTGGGCAACTTGGCGAGACCTCATCTCTACAATAAATTTTTAAAAATTAGCCGGGTATTGGTGGCACATGCCTGTGGATCCGGCTACTTGGAAGGCTGAGGTGGAAGGATCACCTGAGCCCAGCAGGTCAAGGCTGCAGTGGCAGTGAGCACACCACTGCACTGCACTCCATCCTGGGTGACAGAGTGAGACTCCGACTAAAAAAAAAAAAAAAAAAAAAACCCCAAAAACGTAAAGAAAAGGAACAGAAAATGTTCTGAAAAATAGCAAGCTGGGGTCATTTACTGAAGTGGTAAATACTCTTCATTAGCTCCTAGAGACAGCAACGTGTTTGAATCCAGTATGATAGGTGAAGTTCATAATTTTGTCCACTACTTACTAGAAAAATATTTTAAAATATTAAAAATACATTTTAAAGTATCTTGCTTTAAAACGTACAGAAATATTAGCTGGGTGTGGTGGCATGTGTCTGCAGTTCTAGCTACTTGGAGGGCTGAGGTGGAAGGATCACCAGAGTCCAGCAGGTCGTGGCTGCGGTGGTCCTGAGCGTGTCACTGCCCTGCAGCTTGGGAGATAGAGTGAGACTCAGACCCCCCTCCCCCCTAAAAAGTACAGAAATATATAGAGTTATTTCTACTTAAAATGGATAAAATGAAATAAATGTTATTGCTTAAAGAGGTGAGCTTTGATTACACGGATAATTCATTTGTGTGGCATTCTCACTTATTTCCCAGTAATGCAGGAGAAAGTGAGGCACAGCAAAGTAGCTGAAATCCATGAAACGAACCAGTTTATGTCTAATAATGATGCATCAGAATAAATGCAGTGGATTTAAAAATCACTACCAACTCCTTTATTTTCCAGATTAGATTCTTCTGAGGTTCCCTTTTCTTTTGTGCTTGAATATGTCATAAAATCGCGAACTTTTCCTTTTAGGACATCCAGTTCATTCTGCATCTTTAATAGGCTGTTATCATACTGAATTCCTTCAAGGGTTTTCTGCATCTCCAGTATTTCAGACACTGTTTTCAGCATATCGTCTTCCATATTAAACATCTGCATAGTCAAGTCTTCTATTTTCTTTTCTGTTACTAGCAGGTCCTGAGACACTCTAAGAACAGAGTGAATAGCATTTTCGACTGCTGGCACATATGTCTTGCATTCTTGAACTTTGGGTTCATAGTTGGAAAGTTTACTAGTCAGATCTTCTTCTCTGGCAAAGAGAGCGTGCTGTTCCTCTTCTAACTTTTCAACTGCTTTTGTATCAGAGCCAAGCTGCTCTTCTACTTGTAGGAGGTCTTCTTCTTCTTGTTTTTTCACTGTTCTAATATTTCTTAGTGTGCTGTCTTCCAACTCTTTCAGCCGTTCAGTGAGCAGTTTTACTCCTTGCTCAACTGAGTTAATTTGAACAGTAACTTGAGAATGTATATGTTTTGCTTCTGATTTGAAAACATCTGTATTAACACTCATTTCTTCTAGGCTTCTCTTCCAGAAATCTGTAACATTCTGGAATTTCTCATTAAGGTTTTGCATTTTTTGAGTGAGCATCTCTTCACTATTTTGAATGTCATGCACGATGCTTTGGAGGCTGGATACTTCCTGCTCAAACTGGGTCATCAAAGACATGGATGACTTAGCTTTCTGTAGGATGCTTTCCGTAGACTCAAGCTGCATTTACAACACAAAACAATTCCCATGGCTACTTAATAATTTTCATATTAGAGAAACACACTTTAACAATCAGAAGCATGCCAAGTTCAAATTCTGAAGGTGTATGAAATATCCAATTATATCAGAATCATACTGACCAAAACATTTATTACTTTAATGTTTTCACAAATTAAATAGATGAGTTCTATGTTAGAAAAATATACACCTTAACATATATTTCTAGATATCCTTTCATGGAGGCATATTCAAGAGAAAAATAATGTTAAGGAAGCCTTAAGCGTAAACTAATTTCCTTTTTTATATGCAAATGGAAAGTAACAGAGATGGCATTTTTATTGATTTTATTTTAGAAGCTGCAACCTAGTATAAAAGTTATTGCCATTCCTAAATCTTATGATTCTGGAAGAGTTCTGCCTAAAAAAAAATTTTTTTGACCAACCTCTTGCAGTGAAGGAACTAGAATCAGTTCTTACAGACACCCAGGTGAAAATGAATTCAAAAACTCAGCTTAGTGAGACAAGCCAATCAAATGGTAAAGTGTTCTAAGTATCTGTAAGTCATAGGAAGCCCCTGGCGCCTCCTAACGTGTATCTGGAAAGCCAGGTCATAGACCTCTTTTAGTCTACACTCACACACAGATGACAGCTTTAGAGACTACGAGAAGGCCTAGAAATGATAACAACTCACCAAATGCTTGCAGCACTGTGTTGAAGACATAATCCTGACTAAGACACAGTTTTTTCCTTAAGTAGGTTGGTTTAATTGGGGAGAAGACAAGTCTATATGTACTATAACAGGGGAAGAGCTAAGAAAACACTTAGGTGGAGAGTCAACCTAATCACTTCAGTGATTGATGCAAGCATTCCAGAAGAATCCAGTATCGACTTCCAAACATGTCCTCTAAATCATACTACACACTAGTACCAAATTAAGCTTTTAAAAACTGCTATGAACATCATGGTAAAAAACCTTTGATATTTCCTAATGCTTCTAGAATAAAGTCTCAAACTCTACAAGCTCTCCCTATGATATAGCCCTCTTCTTAGTCAAGTTCTGTCCTCACGTCAAGGCTCAGACCCGATCTCATAGCTGCTGTAGCGCCTGTTACATAGTGTATTCAACACATATTTGGCACTTAGATCATATAACTAAAAATTTTTGAGTGTTCCCTCTGTTCCAGACCTTGTACTAGACACTGGATATAAAAGGGTAAATATGGCATAATCCCTGATTTCACGATTTGACAGGGGAGATAGTGTTTTGGATCTTTCACATCATATATTCTAGAGCTCCAGTAAGATCAATTCTTAAGTGTCCTTTGCGAGCTCTTCCGTTATTAGGGCCCTGGGAAATAGAGATCAAAGATACAGTGCTCGCTCTGACGATGAGTAAGGGAGACAAACTACTAACAATGACACTCACAGGTGACAAGCAGAGTCTACGACAGAACTAGCATGGGGCTGGCAGAGGCTTGGAGGAGAGAGTTCGAGTCAGGAGGGCAACGGGGAAAGGGCTGGAAGCGACCCTCAAGTCGGACGCATTGACAGGCTGCTCAGTGAGCCAGGCGCAGAAGATGCGAGAGCTGCCAAATTCCTCATGGGAAAACACCATGTCCTAGGCCTTCAAGAACAACGACCATACACTTTCCAGGCCCACCCAACAGGACGACAGCAGTTCCAGGTGACAGATGGGAACAATGTGTGACAGACCTGGCTCATACAATACCCACTCTGATAATACGAGTTCCTTGAAAAATAAACTCTAAGAAATACTTGTCCATTGTTGATACAGTGATGCTTAGTTGCATTATTAGCAGTAATTTGAAGACAGAAGCTTATCTTTTACCTAAAGCAACTTTCTGTTTTGGTTGTTCAGAGCATCACTGTCGTCTGAAGGAGGGGCATCACAAGTAAGTGCAAGATCCACTTTTCAGGATAATAAAAGTCTCAAGATTTCATCTGCAAATGTTGAGTGACGAGCATGCCACAGTAACTAGTCAACGAGCTGTCAATATCTTCTAATAGCTTTTCTTTTCTTTTTTTTTAAAGAATTCACACCTGAAATTTATTAGTGCTTGAACATTTTCAGAGTTTGCATACATAGTAAGTCCACACTTAACATTGTCAGTAGGTTCCTGGAAACTAGGACCTTAAGCAGGGTATGACCACGCCCACTTTTTCCTCACCAACACGATAACGAAGGGACACCGGCTGAAGGGATGTTACCAACCCACTTGCTGCTCGTCTTTCCTCTCAAGTCCCAGTTTCAAAGCACTTGCTGATGACGTTAAGTGAGGACTTAGTGCACAAATCTGATCCTTACAAATGTCTTTTTCTCATTCAATATATGTGAAGAAACCCACATCTGGCTGTTCTCCTCTCCTACTGCATTAAGCTACACTTTAGGGACAGCTTTGTAAAAAGGCAGCTCTTATTAAATTATTCCCACGGTAGACTGAGAAAGAAAGAGCCATGATAAGACAGAATATTTCTTGGATTCTATATTATTTTAAAAATCTGCTTCATGTAATCCCAGCACTTTGGGAGGCAGAGACAAGAAGACTGCCTGAGCCCAGGGGTTTGAGGCCAGGCTGGGCAACTTAGTGAGACCTTTTCTCTACAATAAATCAAAAAATTAGTCAGGTGCAGTGACTTCCAGCTACTTGGATCGGCTGAGCCCTTGCAGGTCGAGGCAGCAGTGAGCCGTGACAGTGAGTGTCCAGCTTGGCGACAGAGTGAGACTCCTACTCAAAAAAAACAAAACAAAACAAAACAAAAAACTACTTCAAAAGCATTTTTATTGTCAACACAATTTTTTTCGTTTAAAAAGGAAATTTAACTTAGTTCAAAATTTGTTTTCAATAACTTTTAATTAAACATACAAAATTTCTAGCTCCTGAACTTTTAAAATCATGATGTTAGAGTGTCCCCAACAACTGCAACTGGATTTCAACTCGATGTCAAAACAGCAACTCTTTTTGCAGCTCCCTGGGAAGACCTCAGCACTCTGCCCCCGCCATGAACTCCTGTGTCATGAGTGAGTGAGGATGCTTACTTTTCATCCATGGCTTTTCTCTTCTGGGGGATGTATGCTCGCTCTGCACACGAGGCAGCAGGGACTCAGACACTCCATTTCATCCCCATCTAATTTCATTACATCCTTGTCAAACACAAGTCCTTGCTCACGTCATGACGTGAGTAAAGGTTTAGTGGATGAATAAATGAGCAAACAAGGCATGTTTCTCAATGACAGCTTCGCCCTGGTAGTCAGACAAGGCCCACAAGATGCCTTATTGATCACAGCTGACCTTCTCCTGGGCGGTGTGGGAGTTACAAAATGTTTGTCTCACAGTCCTAAGAATTACAGTAATAATGCATCTGGTGGAAATCAGCACTGACAACTTGAAGAAACACAACACTGACACAGCATTATTTAAATTTTTTGTTTTTAAGAGACGTGGTCTTGCTCTGTCATCTGGACTGGAGCCTCCAACTTCTCCTGCCTCAGCCTCCCAAATAGTACAATTCTAGTTTTCAATGTGGCTACAGGATCGGTAGTTACTTTTAGACTAGTCATTCTTATAGGCGCATACCTTAACAAGTGCGAAAGAAAAAAATGAATAGCTCTTTTCCCGATACATGCTATTCATATTCTAATTTTTTTTTTTTTTGAGTTGGAGTCTCACTCTGTGGCCCAGACTGTAGTGCAGTGGCCGCTCCCGGCCAGCGCAGCCTCGACCTGCTGGGCTCCGGCGATCCTTCCGCCTCAGCCTTTCAAGTAGCTGGAACTACAGGCACGCACTACCATGCCCGGCTAACTTTTGATTTATTGTAGAGATGAGGTCTTGCCAAGTTGCCCAGGTGGGTCTCGAACCCGCGGGCTCAGGCAATCCACTCACCTCAGCCTCCCAAAGGTGCGAGAATACAGGCTGAGCCACCGAGCCCAGCTCATATTCTAATTTTATACCTAAAGATCAACCGTATTTTCAATGCTCCAGATACCTGACACTTCAGTAGAAAATTAACATCATGTCAACATGAACATATTCATCTTTTTCAATAATAGAAGTAGCTTTCTATAAAAAAGAAATCCTTGTCCTTCCAGAATGCATTCGGAGTCTCAATTGGAGGAGAGGAAGAATGCCAAGAGGCAGAAAGACCTATGAGAGCTAAAACAATACTGGTCTCAAGGGCAGGAAGGAAGAGGATCTGAGACGGGGTAGAGGAATGGTAGTGGGGAAGCAGGACAGGAGAGTCGTCCAGAAAGTCAGTCAATGGTTACCTTTTCTGAAATTAAACTGATCTTACTCTGAAGTCCTTGGAACTCGTGGGTTTCTATTTTCAATAGTTGGTATTGACTTTCCACCTTTGCAAACTTTTCTGACTGCTGAAACACAAACCTGGAAAAGAAAAAAAAAACATTGCTGCCTATTTCACACTCATTTAAGTCTGAATTTCAAAGGACTATCACACCCACTCCTGGTAAGAACAACATACAATTTGGTATGGGTAGGTTGTCTTGTTTTGTTTTTGAGTCGGGGTCTCACGCTGTTGCCCAAGCTGAAGTGCACTGGCACACTCATGGCTCGCTGCCACCTCCTGGGCTCAGGCGATCCTCCTTTCTCAGCGTCCCATTTAGCTGGGCCTACAGGTACATGCCACCACACCCGGCTAATTTTTTCACTTTTTTTGTATGAACGAAGTCTCACTATGTTGCCCAGCCTGGTCTCGAACTCCTAGGCTCAAGTAATCTACCACCTCTGCCTCCAAAAATGCTGGGATTACAGGTGTATGCCATTGTGTCTGGCTAGCTGAAACTTTTATCAGTTTATTTCAACAAACATTTATATTGTAGGTACTGGTTTAACTCGTGCCAAGCTGAGTAAAATACTGCTCCATTCACAGCTAACAGTCCAGTGAGTACAACAGTGTGATATGTGTAATAGATGCACACCCAAGAAATATTTCAGAGGAAGACATTTAGAACAAGATCTTTGAGGTACTATTTTTCTCAAGGTCATACTTGAGCAATAGCTAGAAAATACGTGTTTTTATGCTGAAATATACGAGAAACAAGAGTAGTCTATTTTTAAAAAGTATTTTAAAACTAAAATGTTGGAAGTAGACTGATGAAAAGTAGTAGAGTTGGAGGAAGAGAGGTGACAGTGACTAGAGGTTGCAAACAACAGGCTGGGTGGGGTGGCTCACGCCTGTAATCCCACTGCTTTGGGAGGCTGACATAGGAGAACAACTTTATTTGTTTTTGTTTTTTTTTTTGAGTTGGAGTCTCACTCTGTCGCCCAGACTGGAGTGCAGTGGCTGCTCCCGGCCACCGCAGCCTCGACCTGCTGGGCTCCGGCGATCCTT